CCCCAAAACCCCAAAACCCCAAAACCCCAAAACCCCTAAGAATTTATAATAAATTGTAGATTTAAATGGATTCAAAAATGTCAAATTCAGAACTAGAGTCAAGCAACGAAGTACTTCATCAGAGTAATTGCAACCTTCAATTTCTTGGACGATATTCTTCATTTGAAAAGCCTCTAATATTGTTTAGGAACAGATACCAAGAGCATCTTTGATAGAGCCTTGTTCATCAGATTGGATGGTAAGTGATTTTCTTCAGAATATTGATGAATAATCCAGATTAAAACTTCAAACTCCTGTTGAGACTTATTTTATTATTTAGGTAGTCTAGAGTCTAAATCAGCCTTCATGACAGTGAAAAACCTGCAGAATTGTCCCGATGAAGAGGATAGAATTCCTCCGCTGGTGCATCTTGATCTCAGGTTTGATTTGCTTAGAGCATTCTTGGAAGAAATGCAAAAGGCTGTTAATCAGCATGCCGAGATTATTAACAATGTCCAGAAAGCGGTCAAATACAGGTGCACAGAAAACTCTATGGCTGAATATCTCGAACGAATTGCCAATGGTCTCCATAAGGACTGTGGGGAGCGGACTTTTAATATTGGGATTAATGATGAACTCGCGAAAAAGCACCACCAAACAGAAGAAAGTCCTATTTTTAAACGGGCTGTTGATAAACTCATGGGTAAAATGGAGATTATTTCTGCACATTTGTTGCAAACCATCAAGGTAAGCCTTGCCCTAAAATTTGCAGAACCAATCAAAAACTGACAAGAGACTTGAAAACATTGAAAAGGACCTTGCTAAAGTGCAGTTAGATCACATCAGCAAGTAAATTTTCCTCCTGAACTTTCTAGGTCGAGTTTCGCTGAAGAAAAGAGGAAAATTCAAAATGACTTATTCGAGTATTTAGACAAGAACTTGGATAATTTCAACCATACTCTTGAAGGTACCGCCCATTAATCAATTTCATAGATCACGCTCAGGAACTGGAGAATAAATAAGAATCAATTTGAGAACTTTGTCAAGGAAAATGAAGCCAAAACTTTATGGAAAATCAAAGACTGAGAAGGTATATTTTATTCAAAATTTTATAGAACTCCTCCAGAAAAGAGTCAGTGAAACCTTTGTTAGTGACTCTATATCTGTACTGGAAGCAAAGCTTGTCACAAAGATGGAGAAGAGCCATCAGCAGACTATTTCACAAGCTACGAATAGAGCTGAAGAGAAAGTAAATATGAGAATGGCTGGTTTGGAGAAATTTACTCAACAGGAAATTAATATTTTAAATACCAAAATTGTGGAGCATGACTCTGAGATTTCAAAGAGAATGACGGCTACTGATCTAGCTCCTCTTAAAAATTCTATTAAGGATACCAGATATAGCTTTGAGAAGGAGATCGAGTCAGTTATGGGTCATATTAACAAGTTTATAGAGTATGGAAGAAGGATTTCCTCTCTTGAGTCTACCTCTAAGAAATCACAATCCTCTTCTTCTGGTAATGAGCCTGGTCAGAAAAAGGAAAAGAGTGGAGGATCTGGTTACAACGCTGAGATTAGTATTAAGTACAAAATCATTGATGATAAAATCAAAAACCTGACTGCAACATGAGATTCTTTGAAAGCTGATCTTGAAAATAAGGCTGATGCAGGAGATCTTATCAAAATTGAGAACACTAAAGTCTCAAAGGAGGAGCTCCTTGCTCTTCTTCCTTCTGAAGAATCCAAAGATGTTCTAAAGGAAGAATTCAAAAATGAAATTGCTTATTTTCATAAAACTATAGATGAGCTTGCTAGAGCTTGGGATTTGAAGCTAGTCAAACTACGGAAGGAGATAGACATGTTTTCGATTAAGAAAGAGATTGGAAGACGAGCTCTTACAGAAGACATGAAGCATGACTTCCATGTAATCGAGTCCAAATGTGCCAAGATGGAACACCTCGTCAGCAACTTTTCATTTGAAGTTGATGGGTTTTAAGGATTTCGTACACAAAGTTACAAAAAGTATCAACGAGTTACAAGAAATGAACAAAGATGTTCTTGTTGGAAACAAGAACATAAACTGTCTCTCATGTGGACGAGAGGGTAAAAAGTTTACTCCCTCCATCCCTACTCTACCAGATAGAGACGGAAGAGGAATTTACAAAGGGCGCGCTTCAAGAGGTTTCAGCTCAAAACTTGAAAAGTCCATAACAGACCCAGATATTGTTGAAAACAAGTTCTTCAACCACAGGCGAGAAATTAGTCCACTTAAAACAAACCAGAGCCATACTCACAGTAGGAAAAAGTTCTCCAAACCTTCATCAAGTTATGTAAAGAGACGCTGCATGACAGCTTCTTCTACCAAATCGAACTCCAGATCTGGTGCTAGGCGGGCTTATAACCGGCCAGTGGAGTTACAGAATACTTCAGAGTCGCATATTTATAGGGAAGAGAATATTTATGAGCAGATTAATTAGACTTCAATTTTGAGATATTTTAGTGGGGTTTTGGGGTTTTGGGGTTTTGGGGTTTTGGGGTTTTGGGG